GCAATGTGTAAACTTATGAATTTGAACTCCCTAGGAGGTCATTCAAAGATATTCCAAATATCCCATGACCCTTAATTAATTAGAAAAAGGAGTGCACTATTGTTTATAAGCTTTTTTTCTTTATATTTAAACTCTATAGATTGTCTCTTGAGTCATTTTCTTTAGTTACTTACATAATGAATAACTTCAAAATTATATATTTAAAGCTTCAAAACTTATCAAATAATACGACCAATTAAGTTCTCTAACTTCAATAATGAAGTGACCGCAATATAATCACCCTCTAGCAATATCAAAGAACCATGTAAATATGCATGAAACTTTTTAAAGATACTTTCTTTGTCGTGGAGTAGTTCACCTCTATTAGTTATAATATAGTTAATGTATGCAATAGAATGATGTTAACCAAACAAACTTATGCTATCTTGCATTAACACACTTTCAAGACTAACATTAAAAGTATCTATATGTAAGTGTAGTCATGATATGCCAATTCTAAAGGAGTTACTAACACTTCTTTAAATGCTTATTTGCAATCCTAAGACCAAATGAAAAATAATGTTGATAGCTTCAACAACATCAAAATGGTGCAAGTATAATTAGAAAGATGATCAAAAAAACTTTTAAAGTATTGAACCTTATTGAGCAAGTGTTGCACATTGTAGTAGCAAACTTTAAATAACCACAAATTTGTCAAGATTAATTTGTAAGCCTTCACAAGAAATGCAATACTCAAGATAAGTCATGTATTTGGATCCAAACACACACTTTGATCATTTCAACTTTAAACTACCTTCCTATAAACGATCTAACACTTTATGGATATCATAGATATGCTCCTCCGATATCCCCTTCAAGAGGATTAAAATATCATTGATAAAGTCAATAGCCACTTTTGATATATTATGAAAAAACCTCATTTATCATCCATTAGAAAGTTGTTAAAGAATTGTTCAAATCGAATAGCATTACTAAAAATTTGTATAAATCAAATGGTATATAAAAAATAATTTTGGGAACATCCTCCCCTATCATTAACACCCAAAAGCAAAATTTAACTTGTTGAATCAATAATTTCTCCTTAAACAATTCAGAAGATCAATAGTATGAGGAAGAGGATACATATTTGAGATAGTCACATCGTTTACTAAAAAATAGTTGATGTAAAATTAAATACTTTTATTAAACTTTATCACATTACAAAATGAAGTTCATATACTCAAGGACTTCATTACTTTCAGATAACACATTTATCTAACATCTCTTTGACATTTGTATATAAGATCTTGATCTTCTTTAATGACTAATGCTAAACATAAGTCTTGATTAGACAATCATTCCTAATTGTAATAGGATGATATATACAATCTTAGCCTCAAAAGATAATTCAAAATTGAAGAGATCACCATATTCCTTCTTAAGTTGGTCAATTGCCTTAACATAAAAACCATTTAAGTGATCTAAAAAGGGAATAGAAGAACAAGAAAAAAACATAGAAAAAAGTAATAGAGAGATAGCAATGATGGGAATAGAGGTAAAAATAAAAACATGAAGTAGAGAAATGAAAGAAATATGAAAGAGTATAATATAAGGGGGAGAAATCTCAAAATCACACTTGGTATGATTGTGCTAATGCAATTGTAAAAGTTAATATGTGGTAACAAATAGAGCAATAAAAGATAGATTTTTGAACATGTACTGACTAATATAAAGAAGATAATAAATGACTTCTTATTATAAAAAAAAACTTACTTATGTGGCTCCATATCATCACAGTAGCACTTATAGAAAATTATTGATGCTAAAGCCTCCATTTAGGAAATAAAATATGTTAATCTAGGAAACACTTATAACATTGATATATGATCAATCACATCACATGCCCAGTATAAAATATCATGGCTACAACCATGTCTTAGCTTTTATCCTTAAACATGGGCAATAATAACATTAATTTCTATAGAAACAAAAGTATCTTTCACAAGAAGTAGAGTTAAAACATGTATAACTACAAGTGGGAAAGTGATATCTCATAGTGTTGTACAAGTTATAGAGCAAGTTCTTGACAAAGTGTTTGCCCAACTTGATGCATTCTAACATATTAAGCAAGAAACTTAGAAAATGAACATTGAATTGCATAAACTCAAATAACCTTTAATTTAGATGATGCAATTGTTAAAAAGTATCATCATAGTCATTAGTATGTCCAAATACATGAAGGAAGTCATGAGTTAAGTTCATGCTACTAAACTTCATAAACTTAATCCCCTTTTGGCTTCTAGAAAACGTGAGGCAATCCAAAGGCAGGAAAAATCTTTTGCTTCTCTCAGAAACTAGTTGGTTTAAACCTGCTGCCTTGCCATAGACATATGAGTTGTCTTCACCTAGCATCTGTTGGTAGCCGTAGCAAGCAACACAGCAGTGGAGTCCCTTGGACGCCACTGCCACGGCAAACATTCCTGGAAATTCTGTCAAAAAAGTGAATGGCAAAGACGCAGTACATAGAAGATGGCTAGAATATACTAATGCTTTGCAGTGGCAACACAATCAGTTCTTCCATGCATTGGTGGAAGTCCTAGAATGTGAGCGTCTTGTATGTTCTACTATGTATAATATGATGTTCTCCTGTCTTCCAGGCCGTAGCCCTGGTCAAAATATCCTCATCAATGAACCGCCTTAATTCGAGCTTTTCTAAAGCCTGTGATCACTATAATCAAATTTAACACCTCAAAGACAAGAACCCTCCACACAACACCCTCTTAGGCAAAGATGAGCAACAGGAATGGAGATGATGGAGGAAGCCTTGGCTTCACCAAAGTCTGTGCCGGCTCTTGCTGCTGATGCCTGAGTCTTGCTCTCCTCTCCAACTTTTGACAAGTTACTGTTCATAAGCAAATGTTGGGCGGCCTGCAGGCTGTTTGTGGAGGTGCTTTGTGGAGCTTCCCGTTCGTTGTGGACCTCTGCCTTTGCTTACTGTGAAGTTTGGCGATGCACTATTCCACGCTAGAAAACTTCTACAAACTGCTGGGGAATATCATGAATATCTAATCTTTTTGAGTGGATCAGAAGTAAGACAGCAAAGGAAAAAAAAAAAAAACAACAAAGCACAAAAAGAACAAAGCTGGAGAACCTCGTCAGCTTACTCCTGCAAGACATAATAAGTACCTAATAGCAGTAAAGCTCAAACAAACCTCTGTATCTGTATCCTCTGTATCCTCTGTCTCCTCTGTCTCCTCTAGATTCACACCAGCCTCGGCAGAATCGACCACGTCTGCAAGCCAGAGTTCCCAATCCGCTGTGGCAGTACCCCTCGTGTCTCGTGAGCGCGTCGCTTTCATGGACGCCATCTCCTGTAACACAAGCTCACACTCGCGAAGAGCAATAGTATCGTTGTCCATGGCCACCTTAGAACAAGCTGGACCCACCAGGCACTCCTCAAAGCCGACTATGGTGACTCTCTTGTCGTGCGGCCAAACAAGTATGTTCTCGACGCAAAGGTCACCCATGGCCACTCCACGAGCATGAAAGCGCTCAAGAGCCTGTCGTGCTCGAGACACGACGGCCTCTACCTCGTCCTGATCGACCGGCGACCACCCCTCTCCTGCCGAGTAGCCAGCATCCGACATCACCACACAGAAGAACATCCCGCCGCACAAGAACCCATACTCAAACAAGCAAGGGATACAAGTTCGCTGCAGCTTATGCAGCCGAATGTACGTATCCACCTCCCTCACACACTTCATCAAACAGTCTTGGACACTTGTAACACCTGCAAAAGCCAATCACAATTTGGTGAAACCTCTATGCTGGTAGAAATAAGCTTTTAACCTGTGGTCAAGTCCGTGATCTTCACGACGACGTTTTTGCCCTTGTACAGAGCACGGTAAACAGCGGAAATCCTTCCCGTGACGCCGGACAAAAACTCTAGAATCTGAAGTTCCCGAGCCTCCAAGCTGCCCACTTCGTGGACCATCTTGGCAATGCGATGCACCCCTGCGACATGGCAGCACGTCTCAAAGACACCCATCGCAAAGCGCGACGCAAAGCCTCGTGGAGAAGGTAGTGGCCTGGTACTCTGCTGCAAACTGTGTCCAGTAGCCATGTGAATCAGAAACCTGATGCCGATAAGCGGAAGTGGAACAGGGTCTGACAAGAGAAACCGGTTGTCCAAGCGCGCGCAAACCTTCGTCTCTGCGTAGGATGAGACGACCCCAAACGAAGAACCACTGCTCAGCATGTAAGCATAGACCCTCGCAACTGCTCCCGCGTCAATGATCCCCACCATGACACCAACAACAAGCGGGCTATGGCCCTTGGTGCTCACCACAAGCTCCGGAGCACCTATCCAGTTCCCAATGGCATAGCTCGCCATGCCAGCAGACACATCCTTGGGTCCCTTTACGAGTTGCAGCACCGTGTCAGCCGCCGAGAAAAGGAAACCTCTGAAATGAAGATCGATCAGCACTTCTGGCTTTGATCTCAGAGGCCTGTCTGGAAGCCCAGAGAACCAAGAATTCATATCACTGAGGAAGCTATCCCAGCAGTCCGTCTCGAAGTCCTGCGGGCAGAGATCCACCAGAGGAGGTGATGTCGACAACAGGAAACGATGATATGCGTCAACCCCAGCAGGCACAGCCCTCATAGGCTGAGCAAGGTAAGCTTTGACACTACCTCTCACGAATGGCTCCTCTTCCAAAAGCATCAACTCAGCCGCTGCGTCACTCTCCAGTTCCGATGCATCCATCGATGCCACCGGTTTGGACGTTTAGGGTTACTCTAGAATAAGAATATTCTGGATTTAATTCAAAATGGATTATAATTCTTAGTAACCTTAATTAGGTAACAGGTACATGTAACACGGATTCTGACTTAGAAGCGTTCAATCATAATCCCACACATCACTTTTTTAAGTATCAAGAAAATGAAGAACGAGTCTCTTCTGTGGCCCCTTCTGTCAAATGTTTAATCTAGGACATCTCAAAGCAATCAATAAATTCATAGAATAAAGAAACCCTTTTTTCCTAGAAGAAATTACATACAAAAGTCATGGTTGAATTCACAAATCAAACTGTACGACGAGAAGAGACACCTTCACTGTATGGGAGAAAGTAAAACTTCCACTCACTCCTCATACGTCCCCCGCTCAAACTCTAACTCACTTGTCAAGCCGCAGTTTACAACTCTCTCGCTGGAACCGCCATTGATCTTGCTAGCAGCAGCAGCAGTATGAAGATCATCACCGCTTTCTTCCAAGCTCGCATTGATGTTGATCAAGTTCTTGGCCACCACCAAGTTGTCGTGCTTGTTTTGCTCTTCGTCCGTATCACTGCTCGACGCTTGCTGCTGGAACTCTTCCTCCTCGCTCTCCTCTTCCTCGTCACTCAGCTCCTCCTCCTCTTCCAACATCAATCCATCCTCTTCCTCCATCTCCAGCTCTTCCAGATGATGGAGGCTTCCATGGCCTGGCTGCTCGAGCTCCTCGAAAGAATCCTGTCCTTCCCAGTTCATCTGCGAGCTATCGTCACTCTCGCCGCTAGCTTTCATTGCCAGCCTCTTGTCTTCGTCTTCATCATCTTCTTCTTCCTCTTCTAGTAGAACGGCGGCGCTCTCTTGCCGAGCGCTCCAAGATGGATGAGCTCCAAAGTCACCACCACTCCTCTCGTAAAACTGTGGTGGTAGCTCCTCCTCTTGGGAATTAAACTCTGCCTCTTTGGTCTCTTTGTCTTCCTCTCCTTCTGCCGGCCTAGTACTACCAGCCTCGTATAAAACTTCGCGGGCCTCTCCTTTCGATCTTCTCATTGGAACCTGGAAGGAGAGAAACGTAAGAACAGATTCTCAACTTAAAAACACGACGCGTAGAACGAAAGTAAAAATCTCAGGAAAAAGTAAGCAAAAGAACACGCGAAATGGATGGATGGCTTACTCTTCGTTGCCTGTCCATGAGCTGCTGCTTTTGTTCTTCGGTGTAGGCGATCGAAGAGTCAAAGACCATCAGTCGAAGAGCAACAGCAGCGGAGGTCTGCGGGATCCAGGGGGGATTTTTTCTCTGAATGCCGATGAGTCTGCCAACTTGCTCGATCGACTCGTACGAGGAAGAGATCCAGTCCTCATCGATTGCTCCCTCCAGATCCATGAATGCCTGCAAAGAAAAACAAGAAAAAGAGATAAAGAAAGATAGCACCAAGCTCCAGAACTTTTAACTCTACCTGGAGAATTTCTCCTGCCGAAGAAGCAGCCTTGAGCCTTTGACACCACGCCTTTCTGTAAGAATTCGTCGACCATGCAGGCTTAAGTGCCTCGCAAGGAATACAAATCTAGGGAAGAAGGAAACGTTTCAAGACAATGCAATAGAAGAAACGAAAGTTACCTCGACTAGAAACAACAGTTTCTTGAGCAACTGTATTCGCGGAGGAAGAACACCACCTTGGATTCTCCAGGCGGGATCCCTGCTGATCATCTTTTGCTCGCAGTCGCGGACGTGCTGCGAGAAATCACTCCAGACTTCTTCCTCGCCGGTGGAGTGGCAAAACGGGCAGTGCTTGTCGACGGCCCAGCGCAAGTCATGGCACGACTCACACTCGGTGATCATCCCATCGTTCTCGCTCTCTCGTCGCTTCTCGCCACCTCTTTGCAGCGCCTTGACGCTGCAGTGCCTCCACAGCCACCTTTCCATGTCTTTGTATCGTTCCATGGCGCCGGAGTTCTCCGACGCTGATCTTCCGAGCTCGACTTTGAGCGATCCTACCCGAGCGTCGGAGCTCGTCGAGTCTTTGCCGCCATTTCCAACCACGGCGCTGGAAGATGGACTCCCCTCGCAAGAGTCGTTTCCATTTCCATTTCTACTCCCAGCTCCAGCTTGAACTCCAGCTCCATTTCCATTTCCGGTGTGGTGACTTTGGTGGTGGTCTTGGTGCTGCTTGGTGCTAGAGCTGCTCATTGCTTGCCTTAGCGAGCCTTCAAGCTCCTTGAGAGCTACAAAGAGATTTGCTTCTCTCGTGCCTCTTATGTCCAGAGAGTTCATCAGCGCGTTCAAAGCCTGCCGGAATGGACACAAACTTTGTTTAGTGAGTGACCAACAAGAGAAGAGAAAAGAAAACTCTTGCACGTAAGAAACGAAAACCATCCATGAAAACTGGGAGAACAAACATTCCTCCATGCAACTCAAAAAGATGAAGGATACTACACTCACCTCTTCGGTGTCGATGACTTCCCAGTGGCCATCTTCATGCGATTCAAAGTAGATCCTTCTACACCCGGGGTCGTGTCCGCTACTACTAGTGACGAACTGCCAGTACCGGTTGTGCCTCCGGTCCAAACCCAGAGGAAGCGACCGAATAACGTAGAGTTTCTCCGCTCGCAACCTGATATCTGCTTTCATATCGGCCCGGGACCTGTCCGAGTGCTGCGAAGCACACTTTTGCTGCCTCTCGTTTGGATCTTCGCTCAAGGCTTGCGCAGGATTGGAGCTGCCATCTTCATCTCCATCCAGCTGCTGCTCCTGAGCCTCCTGTGATCCATTCTCCAGAGCTTGCAGCAGTGGTTTCTCATCCACTTGCTGTTGTTGCAGATTCGTCTCGTCGACCTTTGCAGCCTCGGCTTTGCTGCATTCTTCTTTTAGCCGACGCTTATCGATCTGGACTTCCTCCCAGAGCTGTCTCTTGAGAGCCGACGCAGCCTCATATCGCTCCTGGAATGCAAAGTTTACATGCAAACTTTGAGTGATGAAAACAAAGAAAAAACCAAAGAAAAGAAGGAACAAGTTCTCACCTCTATGGCCGAGCGAACAGTGCTCCCTTGGTTGACAGCATCCACGAGAGCAACCAATCCACACAGCCTCTCCTCGACGCTCAAATCCGTGTACTCGCCTTCCATGAGTCCTTGCACCCAAACTTCACCAACCTGACTCTCATCTATCTCCATGCCATCGCTGCTTTCCTGTGCCATCACTTCTACGCTCTCCACATTCATATCTAAGCTACTGTGAAGCCGCTCCGGCTCGGCCTTTACACACTCCTCCTTCTGCCCGCTTTCTACCGCTGGAGCGTCCGAGCTTGGCGTTAGCTTCCCAACTTTGAGCCGCAGTATCACTTTTCCACTACTCGAAGGACTATTGTCGTTGGTGGTGGTGGTGGTAACGGTGGTTTCGATCGTGCTAATGGTCGTGGTGGCAGTCTCGTTTTTAACTTCTCGTTCTTCGGTCTCTTCGATATCTTGCTCGTCACACTCTTCCTCTTCCTCCCTTTCCTCGGCCTCTTCGATGATATCCTCCTCGAGAGGCTCCGGCTCGGCGTCCGAGAGCCGGCTCTCGCACTGGCGAATCTTCTCGCGAGCGGCCTGGAGCACGGCCTCGGCTTCCTCCGGGCTTTTTCTAAACACGAGGCGCACGCAGTACGTGGAGGGTGCTACGCGCTCGAAGAGTTTTGTGTCTCGGGAGAGGACAGCCGAGATCGATGCCTCTGGCGTCTTACTCGTCGATAAGTCGCGTAGGCCAGCTTTCTGGAAAAAAAATGGAAAGTCAGTTTTGTTCCGAGTGATGTATACTTTTACCTGGACACGATCGACCACTTCCAAGATAGTGAGGCCTTTGCTCCCTTCGACCGAGAGAACTTGGAACGCAGCGAATTTCACTGTGCCTGGAGTGAGAACAGGCTTATGTTGCTGCTGCTGCTTTCGAACACGGCTGGAGTTTCTTCCTCGCATTTGAGTGACAGCATTGGCAGCTGCGGCACCGGAACGTAAGTTGGCAACTGCGTCCTCGGCATTTTTTCCCTGAGCAAGGAAACACGTAAGAACAAGAAAGACTTTAGAGCTGGAAAAATGAGTAACTTACTTCCGCTACTGGTGTGCTAGGAGCTGTCTCGGTAATTTTCTTCTTCCATCTGGGACCATAGCCGGAGGCTAGAGCAAACTGCCTTAAAATCTCTGGCCAAGTTAGAGCATTTACGTGCTGTCCCCACTCTTGGATATCAAAGCCCCATGCATACGCCTGGAAACCAAGGATGAGGAGTTTTTTCTCAAGAAAGGAAGAAAAAACAATACTGCTTCGACAAGTTCCGGATGTCCTCCCGATGCGACTGCCAGTGCTTGGTTACTTCCAATCGCAGCTGCCTGTGACGCGTCTTTGACGTCTTTCACCAGAGTTTTCAGCAAAGCAATGTGTATTTCTCCCAAGAGTCTCGAATCCTTGAAGAAAAAAAGAAGTAGAGTTAGGAGCGAAAGAGAAACATCACACTTACATAGTCATGTAGCGCCTGTACAAACTCATCCAGAGTGAATGGCCACAGACCAATCACGTCTGCGAAGTTAGTGAGCATTCTCCACACCTGAGAGGACGTTTTGTATGACACAAAGGATAACTAGAAAACCACGAGTATACCATGAAGAGGTTAGCAACGTTGTGATTTGAGTCATTCCAGGGAGGAACTCCAATAGGTGGTTTCATGCGGACAGAAGCAGGAGGAAACATCGGCAATTCAACTGTTTTCAGCAAGAAAAACGAGTAAAAAGAAACGTGTAAGACTTTTCGCCGGAGTGTCATTTTCTTACTCTTGTTTGGATCGAATTCAGAGCCGGAGATAAGTCCTTGCACAAAAGCTCCCATTTGCATCAGCTCCAGCTGCTCGTCATCGATAAGCCCCGTTGAAAGTTTGGCAAGTTTTTTCGCTGTGGCTCGCTCGTAAGCAGCCCTCAGCTTGGTGGCCTCTTTCTCTCGTCTCATCTCTTCCTTTTGACGAAGCTTTGCAACCTGTGTAACACAAAAGTCCAGGAGTGAACTTGAAAACGAAAAACCAAACACTTACTCGCTGGTTTTCTTTCTGCAATAGCTTTTCCATGCGCTCATACTCTTTCTTGTGCTGCCTCTGGAGGCGCTCCTCTTCGCGAGCTTTCTCCCGAGCCAGCCTTTCAAGCTCCTTTTGCTTCTCCCTGTGAACTTTCTCCGACTCTTTCCTCTCTTGATCCTCTTTCTGCTAAGAAATATACAAAAGCACGAACTCACTCAGTAAAATCCATCACGGCCCAAAGAAACAAAACCAAACCTTTCTCCGCATTGCCTCCTGCCTCTCCATTTCCTTTTTCATCCGCTTATCCTGTGCTTCGTGCTCTTTCGCGATTCGAGCTTCCTCGGCCTGATAGAGAAAGGATTTAGCAGAGAAAGGACCAAATCCAAGTTTTTCTTACTTTGCGTTTCCTCTCGAGACGGGCTTGCTCCTGCTCGTGCAGCATTATCAATCTCTCGGTACCAGCGATGGCTTTCTCGCTCATTGGCGGACGAACTGGTGGCAAAAGTTGAACCTCGGGTGGTGGAAATGGCATACCGGTTCGTGGCAAAAAGTCCGCTGGAAATCTCATGTCGCTCGGCGGCGGAAAGCCAAGTCCAAGCGTAGGAGCTTGCCGGCTCTCGGTGCAAAAGCCATTTCCAAAAGTCTCCACTCCAGCGGGTGGCAAGAACGAAAGTGGAGAGATTCGTGTGCTAAGTTCGAGAGATTGCTGCTGTGGTTGCTGCTGCTGCTGCTGCTTGGAGCTGGATCGATCGTAAAAGTGAGCGCCAGTTCCAGTCGGATGCTCGGGTATGAACTGGTGCTCGTGAGGAACTCTTGGAGACTGCGGCACAGTCGCGAGCGGAAGAAACGGCGACGAAGAGCTGTTCTTCCTCTTGCTGGACGAAGTCGCCGGGGATGGAGAAAAGTCCGAGGAGCCGAGTGCTTGCTACAAAAACAAAGTTTTGAATCAGTCAGTATGCTTAGAACTATCCACTCACTCTTCCAAGTTTTGGTTCGTGACGAGCGTGAGCTTTGCTCTCGCTGTTGTAAACTCCCTCCGGAGTAGCGAACTGGCTTCTCGGATACTGACTTCCGTGCTCTAGGAGAGAAAGATAAGCAACTAAAGCAAAGAGATCGATGATACGTACCGATTGGAGTATCGAAAGCACCGGGTGGAAGAGGATCAAACTCGTAGCCAAGAATGGGACCATCTTCTCTCATCGGCTCGCCGAGCTGCTCCTCCACCAGCCTGATGGCCGCCACCTCGGGACTCACACTCAACCGGCAATCCAGAGGACTTACGTTGTGGAGTCCCAGCCTCCGGTACGCGCTACCACGGCCACCATTCGTCTCCAAGTCCCTCTTCGCCAATTGCCTCATATGAAAAGCTCGCTCCTCGGGATGCATCATATCGAGAAAGTTGTGAGGAGCGGCGGTGGCGATCGGGAGCACTCGCATTGGCTGCTGCTGCTGCATTGGCGATCCAAAGTCGAGCGACAGGCCGGGATGGTGGTGGTGCGGCGGCGGAGGTGGCGGCGCTGGTGGTGGCGGCGGCGGAAGTAAGTGGTGGTGGTGATCAAGTTGGTATTGTGGATGGATCCTTTGCTGGTTTTTCTTGTGTCGGGTTTCTTCGGTGCTAGTCGTGGTGGTGGTGGTGGTGGTGGTGGTAGAACCTTTGCGGTCTTTTAAGCGCCGGTGGCAAAACCACATCTTTACTTGCCTGTCCGTGAGATTTAGCTGGTGCGAGAGCTCCGATCGGACAATCTCTGATGGGTACTTGTCCTCTACACAACCAAAGAAACATTTTTTTTTCCATCAGCCAGGAAAGAAGGAGAGGATCCTATCGAGCTCGAGGAAACCATAGCTAAAAAAACTCGCGGCACACCCAAACCAAATGGAACAGTGATGCTGGTTGCGGTGATAATCTAGAATGAATGCAAACAAAGAATAAACATCCAAGCTTTTTCTTTTCTCTTTGCTCAATGCCTGCCCCGCTCCCTCCCTCGCTCGCTCGCTTTCATTCTTTTCCTCTCTTTTGTTTTGCTCTCGTTTTCTTCTTTAATCCCTGATTGAAAACAATCCTCCATACCTGCGTACACTCGCTCCAGAATCTCTAGCTGCGATGGAGTCTTCATCTTGCGCTTTGGGTGATCGTCCCCCATCTCCTCCTCGCCCCCCAAAGAATCCAAACCCGAGAAATGCAGCACCCTCTTGCAGATCTAGCGCTCGCTCCTCCACCTCGCCCAAGCGACGGAAGCACAAACCAAAGGAAACCAAAGAGAAAATTAAAAAAAAATTAAAGCCCTCTTTCTTCTTTCGTCCCACCGCTTGCTTGAGCGAGCGAACGAACGAATGCTTTTCCAGCGTCTTCTTGTTCCTTCTTTTTTTTTTTTTTTTCCTCTTTCTCTTCTCCTTCTCTTTTGTTTTGGTTTGTCTTCTAGGTAACGCACACTCTCTCTCTCTCTCTCACACACACACACAGAAAACACAGATCACAAGTGACCACCACTCCCACCCATCATCATCGCATCACTCCATCATCACATACCATACATACCACCATAGCCACCGAGCTCTTCTTCCTCTTCCATCGTCCCCCTCCTCTCCTCGCAGGGTAAAAACAGCGGAAAAACGAGAGAGAGAGAGAGAGAGAGGAGAAAAAACCACTTTTTTTCCTACTTCCCCCTCGAGGCCTTCGATCCGAGAGGAAAAAAAATGCTAGTAAAAGGTAGTAAAAAGGGAGAGAGATTGAATGGGCATGGCGATGCTTATGATGGTGTGTTTGATGTGGATGATGATGTGGATGATGTGTGAGCTGCGGCATTTGTTTCTGATGAATGCGGGGGACGCACAATTTCTTCCGGATTATACGCGCAGATCTTTTCCTAAAACCTCTCTAAACCCCTGTTTTAAACAGCGCGACTGGTGGTTTACTCCCGGATTTCCTCGCGCCGCTGACACTTTCTTTCGTTCTTTTTTTCGTTTCCTTCCCGGGGATTCATACGATTGGGTACGACAACTTGCCTTTCATCCAGGAAAAAAGAGGGAAAAAAAATGGTAAAATTTGATGGATGGATGGCTTGCTTTTTTGTGGGTGTTTGTGTTGCCGCTGGCTGACATTTGGCTTGGTTTTTCCTTTCGCTCTTTTACGAATTGACAGCGAGCGCGCTGTGAAGCAACCTGCAGCAGCTCTGCTCTGGACTGTTCCTGCCTAAAAACAAGAAATTTCTTCCTCAATTCTTTCTTTTTTATAGAGAGAAAAAAAAAGCCAAAAACAAAAAACGGAGGGATGGATGAACAACATGAACTATTTTCAGATTTGGGGGTTGTCTTGTCAGGAGCATCTATGGATCCACTAAATTCCACAGCTCAAGTCAAAAAGAATTGTAATGATATTATTATTATTATTGTTTTTATTTTGTGGGAAAAGAGAGAAAAATCTCCTGAAGGAGTTAACACACAAATGTTGACGAAAAAGTGAAAGATTGAGGAAAAATGTGATGCCCTGTGTAAATGTATAGAAGTGGTGGAGGTGGTGTTCTTCACTTCTTTCTTTCCACCTTGGGAATCACACAAGTTTTGCTTGTTCTCTCTTTGGAATTGGGATCAATCAAATCTCCTCCACTGGCACTGGGGAGCATAAAAGATTCAAGGAAAGATGTGCCAAAAGGAAACTTCATGCATTGGTTTGACAAAGACAAAGCTGCTCTCAGACAAAACCAACGAGAAGAAACAACACATGAGTTGTGAGGTGTGTTTTTGGGAACTTAATGGTTGTGAGGTGTGTTTTTGGGAACTTAATGGAGCAAATGAAGTTGGCAGTGTACTATCAAAATCCACAGTCCAGAAATTTTTTTTTTTTTTTGCTTCCAATATTACTGGAAAAAAAAACTAGTTTTTTAAGAGACTTTTCCTGTCACTGATCCGCTTCCAACAACAAAAACCGCTAGACAGGCACCAAACATTTGACAACAAGGGAACATACCAAAGAAATACTTAAAAAATACGCATTTGTCCCCGTATTTAGCGACAAATCGTATCGCATGCGTATGCGTACGGAACCATAAAAACCCCACGGAAATTCATTCTTCCGCGATTCAGTCCGAGGAACGCGTCGATGGTTCGAATCTTTCGCTGGGTCGGGCTTACATTCTTTTCGTTTTCCCCGGATGGATGATACCCATCATGGCCACCGCGCATGACACATGATGCATGCCATTCAAAATCTCCTCCAAATCTTCAACATTGATGAATGTGTGTGTCAGTGGTCAGCGGCCGCACAGCATTCTTTCCTTCCGCGAGTTTTCTAGCACACGAAACTTCAAACTCAGTCAGTAAAACTCAACCGAGAAAAACCACCTTGAGCTTCGAGTGAAATCGATCGACCGAGCTGACATTTCTTGAATCATCCCCGCGCAAGTCACGGGAAAATAGAGAAAGGCGAGACAACCAGCCATCACCGCCAGAGCGATTTAGTGACTGGCTCTTTTTATCTCTTCTTCACGTCTCTGGGGCAGCAGCCTGCCGCGGAAAGAAGAGCAAAAGCGTGTATAGATTAGAATCTCCGTAAAAACTTTGGGACGAAGATGCAGAGCCAGATGCATCGGTACAGTACCAGAGTAGTTTTTCCCGACTTTGGCATTTTCTTTGGGCGAAGCTTGCGCAGGCGCTCGCTCAGTACGGTGTGCCATGGCCATTGCTTGCCTCCAACGCTTGTAAGTTGTCAGCCACTGGTGCGAGGAAATATATAATGCTCCCTGCTGCTGCAAGCTGCAACCCCGACTCGTATAGGTGTGAGTCAGTCAGTGGTGCCTGGCTGGCTGGCCCCTTGAACTTGCCAAACAACTCCAAATGAAAAAAAAAAATGATGAACCTGGAATGGATGGGAGCGAGCGTGCCCTTAACTTCAACTTGTTGGCACACCACTCCACCACTCACTCCACCAGTGCGTGCATGAACACCACCGCGATTTTCCCAAAACGCTCAAAAGTAGTACGAACGAACAGCCTGAGAAATAAAGAACGCAAAAAGTCAAGTAAAGAGAGAGAAAAGGAAAAAGGGCGGATCGAAATCAAGTAGCTGCTGGCCGCTACTTACTTGCACACCTTACCTGACGAACCAACGAGCAGCGAGCGAGCGAGGTAGACGTTTAAGTTGTCAGACAAGAAGACGACGACACCACCGACGATGACTCTCTCTCAGGTGCGCGTTAGCCATTTCGGCCGGTAGACACTGTGCTCTCCGAATTCACGACGTCCACTGCATTGTAATTGCAAGCAGCGAAGTTAGTATCCTTTGTCTTTAGCCAGCGCCGCCACCAAAAGGAATTAAAGAGAGGAAGAAATCTACCTGTGCGTGACCTCCCATCCCGTAGGCAAATAACCCGGATGAACCGCATCCACGAACACCATACGCCACCTCTGTATAAAATCTCTGATGCCGTCCTCGCCTTGCCCTTCCCATATCTTCTCCACAACTTTCTTCCCGTGTAACCCATGACCGAGAAGCGATATCTTGTGCGTTTTCTTCGGGTTCTTGCCTGGCTCTCCGTTTTCTACCACCGGTGACTCAACCGCAGCGTTACTGTTGTGCGCCTGCTTCTTCCGTAGTAGCTTGTCGATTTTCCTAGTTAGCCGCTTCTTTCCCCTCGGGTCAATGCCTACAAGCGCTGCAGCTTTCATGTCTGCTTCGTCTATTTGACGACCACCAAAGTAGCCACTTATAACCTGCAAAGAAACAAAAAAAGGACGCTCGGGGCCAGCTATCGAAACAGAAAAGACAATGGAAAACATACCATCTCCAGCTCTGCTCGTCTGCTTTCTGGCATGTCTGGCCCGTGACACAGTAGTGCCATTGCTGCGTTGCGCAGCTGCAGTGGTGGAACTCCCGTCTCGCTCTCAATGACTGAGTATCCAGAGCCTTCCACGTCTTCGGCAGCAATAATCTTTCTCGCGAACAATGGTATCCCGGACTCAAGTGCAATAACGTGCTTGTACTTCTCGGCCGCACGGTGCGCTTTCTCGTGGCAATCCACGCACAAGAGCACTATGTCGTGAGACCTGTGGCTCTTCAAATACTCTGGAAAGTGTTGTCTATAGCAGGAAGGGATGATCCTGTAACGCAGGTAATGGCTACTCTCTCCACACCCGACGCACTGGTTGGACTTGCTCTGAATGTAAAACTCGTTGTTCTCGTCTTCTGGACGTCCTTTTGGCTCGAAACAAAGACGTATAGCTGGCGGTTCTTCATTTAAGCGTTCTGCAAGACCCCGCTGTAAGTACCTGCACCCAAAAGATATAACGCACTGTCATCGTAAATAGAAACGACTGTCGAGAGAGTTCAGGGATCAGGCCACAAACCATTCGAGCTTTCTCCGGTCGCAATAACACAGAAGACGGCCATCTCCAGCATAAATTCGGCAGTTTTCGTACACCAGGCCCTTGCAAGAAAATTTCTTTACAAACTGCGTGCGTTTGAGTTCGGAGTTGCTTCTCTTGTTGAATAAGAATCTCCTCCCTTTCTTGTCATCCCGCTGCTCACCGGAGGTGGCGTTAGCGGCTGAATCTTTGATTGCGAGGATCAATGAGCTGATATGCCTTTTGACTAGGGGAGATGGCGACGGTAACAAGCTTGTTTTACTCGAGTCGGTTGACGTCGCCATGTCAGCTGCATGAATCGACCGATAAACCTCTTTTCCAGTTCGAGGAAGTGTTCTTGCAATAGCTACGATAGCCGCGTCTGATAATACAAAACGCAGGCTCTCATCTTCAATCCTTGCCTGCGAAACAACAAAGCGATGATCAAAACGAGAACATGAACAGATGCCAAGTAAGGACGTACCACAGCATCTCGCCACTCGCACAGCAACCTGAGTCGCCTACGCATCGATGCCTCCTGCAAAAAACTTCACTATTAGTATCTATACAAGAGCATTTCTGGAAATGCTTAGATTCACCCGAGGCTTATCCAGATTGGATTCCTGAAACTTCGAAAATAAAGACGCAGCTGCCGACGCTGATGAAGCATCCTTCTCGTAAAGTTGCAAGCAAATCAAGTGTGACCTTCGCGTTGCCATTTGCAGCGGGGCGTTCGCAAGGTCGGTTTCTCCTTGGAGAAGCTCGGAATATAGCTTCCTAGCTATGTACAGCAAGAAATGCGCATCACTGCGAGCATACAGTAATATATCTTCAGGTAAAGGACGTTGACGCCAATCTGACTTCTACTACCAAAATAATTAGTCCAGTTAATGTCTGCCAGTATTTTACGTACCTGGAAAGCTTTATTTGTCGATATGTTGCAGTAAGTTTGCAAGAGATAAGCCAGGGACCTTTGAGGCTTTCCTAAAACATCGCAAGCCTGCATTCCATCCATCAGACACATAAAAGGTTACATTGAGAGAGAAAAAAATAGTTACGCGAGCTGTGTCGAAGAGATTAACAACGTAGATGTGAAAATCCCGTTGTAGCCAGAGTATGTCGCTGTCAGCACCATGAAACACCTGTTATACACAAGGCAAAGTGTTAGTGTAAGTTTTTACCCCATAGCGCTCGAGTATGGACCTTACAAATAGAAGCATTCGCAAAGACAGGCCTTAAGGTCTCCATCTCGTCATGCAGTGCGATTGCATCTATCAAATAGTCGCGTTTGTACGTTGATATCTGGATGAGAGCCGTGAATCCAAGGAACGATCGAATGCTGTGCTGTTCGGTGTCCACAGCAAACTCACTTTCCTCGGACAAAACCTGTGCCAAATCCTCCAAAGCTTCCTTCGTTTCGATCCAAACGAATGGTTCTTCCATCTCAGCCAATGGCTGCTCGGTTTCAAACAATGGAAGAACTGGACCCTCTAGCAGAGCTCTGATCTCATCGCCATAAGGATGCGAATCCTCCCCTGGAAATCCAGAACGAGTAAAGAAAAGAACCTCGATCGAGCTAACCTTTGCCTGGAATTTCCAAGTGAACGAACGGCAATGGAGTGTTATCAGCCAGGATTCTCTTGAATCTCTTCTGCGGCTTGATTTCCTCGTCTTCATTGTCTGTAAGAGCTAAGTTTCTTCCCTAGATCATGAAAAAATCGTTCGATTCTTACCGTCTTCTGCGACGCGCCGCCGGACTCTTCTCGCAACCACGACTACAGCGACGATCCCGACAACGCAGGAGCAACAAAGAACAAGAGCCTTCGCATTTGGTGATCCAGCGCTGCACCAGAGAAGCGCCATAGGGCAAATTCTATTCCGTGAAAAAGAAAGAACAAAATCTAGAGCGCTAGGCTAGAACCCTAAATATTTCTCTTCGTGACTAGTAGGGTGGGGCGTAGCCAGGAGGAGGAGACGATCGAACGATTGGAGCTGGTGACGAGAAGACTGGCGGCGGTGCGATCGGAGCTGGCGGCGAGTACAATGGCGGAGGTGAGGATCGAGTGATCGGTGCTGGGGAAGAGTAGAGCGGAGGAGGCGAGGATCGAGTGATTGGAGCTGGGGACGAGTAGAGTGGAGGCGGTGAGGATCGAGCGATTGGAGCTGGAGAAGAATATGGAGGAGGTGAAGAGATTGGAGCTGGGGAAGAGTACAGTGGAGGAGGGGAGGATCGAGAGATTGGAGATGGGGAAGAGTAGAGTGGCGGTGGTGAGGGAGCTGGAGAAGAGTACAATGGAGGTGGAGAAGAACGAACGATCGGAGCTGGAGAAGAGTATGGTGGCGGTGAAGGAGAGGAGTACGCTGGTGGCGGCGATGAACGAACTATTGGAGCCGGACTAGAGTAGATTGGAGGAGCGCAAGACACTGGGACTGGTGGTGCTGAGCGGATGATCGGAGCCGGGCTGGAGTAAAGTGGAGGAGGCTGATACAGTGGTGGAGGTGAGGAGCGAACGACCGGAGCTGGAGAGGAGTATGGTGGAGGTGACGAGCGAACGATCGGAGCTGGAGACGAATATGGTGGAGGTGATGGGCGAACAACTGGAGCTGGAGAAGAATACAGTGGTGGAGGGGACGAGCGAACGATCGGAGCTGGAGAGGAATAAGGCGGTGGAGAGGCTGGAACAATTGGAGCTGGAGACGAATATGGTGGCGGAGAGGCTCGTACGATCGGAGCTGGAGAAGAGTATGGAACCGGGCTCGAGTACAGTGGAGGTGGCGAAGATCGGACCATCGGAGCTGGAGAAGAGTATGGAACCGGGCTCGAGTAGAGTGGAGGTGGTGAAGCTCGGACCATCGGAGCTGGAGAAGAGTATGGAACCGGGCTCGAGTAGAGTGGAGGTGGTGAAGCTCGGACTATCGGAGCTGGAGAAGAGAACGCTGGCGGTGGAGGAGCGGCACGGGTCACAGGCGCTGGGGACGAGTACGCTGGCGGAGTGCCGTAGTAGGCGTCACTCTTCCGTGAAGAACAGGCTGGGAGTGGTTCTTCCGGCCGGAAGCTCAGCAGTCCGGCGTAGACGACGTTTTTCTTGAGCTTCATGTCGGGTGTGAGAACTTGAGCTGGCTTTGAGACGAGATTACACTCGGAGAGCGGTGCGTTTACAAGCTTGACCGAGCAGGAGTGGGAGTTGATCTTGGAGGTGTCGAAGGGGATCAGAAACGAGCCAGCCATGTCCGTCTCGCCCTCGGCAACGTGAATTCCACCATCGTCTCCCGTGCACTCGAGCGCAACTTTGGCACCTGGAAAGACAAAGTTCAGATAAGATCTTCGGGCCGAAGAAAGTTCTCATGATCTAAGGCGAAGAAGAGTGTTCTCGTCAGCTAAGGACATCGAAGTTTTCGAGTGGAAAAACTTTGGATCGCCAGGGACTTATCGACTTACCTTTGACGAACGCCGCATGCCTGGAGAAGCGTCCCTCCACGCATCGATCGCAGAAAACTCGACCAACAACGATCTGATTCAGCGACGACGACGAAGAAAAGGCAGTGCCACTGGCGGTCATCGCAGAGACATAGCTCGTGAAAGACACGATGAAGAAGACGATAGCCAGCAGCATTGCGACAGGCCTCATTCTCTGCGAGAAAAAGGTTACGCTCGTCTCCATCCCGCGAAGAGCATTTGTAGTGGCAAGCAACGGTAGCGATGGCCATGGAAGTGGTGACTTTAAAGTTCGCGAGCGTTTCACTGTTTTAAGCCGCTATAAGTGAAAAGAGAGAAGCAAGATGAAAAAAAAAAAGACCACTCTTGTTTGGTTTGTTACAGTGGTGGTTTGAATGCCTGCGTTTGTTTTTTCCTAGACTTAAAACAAGTTTTAGTAGACTGGTAAAAGCAATCGATTGAATTTTGACGAGCGTCGATTCAATACATTTTAAAGAGCTCCTTTGTGTCGGTAAAAACTTGCTCGGCTATGGCGGCAACGCTCCCATCGGCTCTTTTAATTTCCAAGTTTGCCTTTTGGTAGTAAGACGTGCCTCTGATTGCGTCGGCAATGAAATCGTCGAAGCCAACCGCGATGGCAGCCTCGGCTTTGGCACCATATACCAGACGCTGTCAAGAACAAACAATGAACTATACGTGCAAAAGCCAGCAAGAAAAACAAAGGAACATCTCCTTACTTTGATTCGTGATAGGTGAATGGCTCCAAAGCACATTGGACACGGCTCACACGACGCAAAAATCTCGCAGTCGGACAGCTCCAATCGATTCAGCTTCTTGCAAGCCTGCAAAGTTTTTTTTTTTTTTTGTTTGCGGTGGCAAGCTTTAGCTCGAAAACAAGAGAAAGAAGAAAAAGCAAACTCACCTCTCGAACAGCCGTGACTTCGGCATGAGCGGTGGGATCCGTGTGCCTGAGCACCATATTGTGGCAGCTCACCACCACCTCGTTGTTTCGGACGACCACAGCTCCAAAAGGACCGCCATCGCCGCAAGTGACACCTTTGTAAGCTTCGTCCACAGCCTTGGAGAGAAACTTATAATCTCTGTCTTGCACAGCTGCAAGTTACAAACAAAAGTGTTGTAGAATCCTTGAGATGAACGAGACTAAGAAATCTTCACTCGAAAAGAAAAAAAAGAGGAAACGATAGATCTTAACTTAGACGAAAACTCGTTCTCACACTCTCAAGGAAAAGATGCGAGCAATGAGTACCTTCTTGGTGTGCTGGAATAGCACAAGGAACCACCAAAGGCGATTCCTTTTGGGAGTCTTGGATTGAGCATGGCAGCACCACCGAGACCTCAGTCGTGCTCGACGCGGCAATCACCGATGGAATTGGATTGGCACCAGGAGCTGGAGCTGGGAAAAAATGAATCAAAGCATGAAAATTCCTGGCTCAGTGAATGTACCAAATAGAAGAGAAAAAAGTTTCTATCTCTACTGACCATCATCTCCGTCTCCCATCTATATTTCTTTCAAAGACACAAGCACGAAAAAAAAAACACGGAGAGAAACAACAAAAGACTTTCTAGCGCCTTGCTGCTGCGTCCTGCTCGAAAAATCCATTGTAAAGCCCTAATTCGCGCACGGAAATGGATCCACAGATCCATCCCGGATGTGGACTGGAGCGTACCTCGGATTCGCGCGCGCGACGCCACGCGACGAAAAGATCCAAGCGCTGTTCTTCCTTTTTGTTCTTCCCTCACAAAACAAAATATAGAAAAGAAACCCTCCCTTTTCAAAAGGGACACCTTTATTATTCCTAAACGAGTACTTGCCCAGCAAATGCTGGGTGGTTTACAAAGAGGTTCAATATAAAACCTCTTTATAGACAGTGTTGATTGTAAAAATAGAAGGATCTTGAGGAAGGAGGTGGCCTTGGCGTGTGGTGTTTTGAACTTTAATTCCAAGTCCATGTGGTGATGTGCATCTTGATAAAGCCACATAAAGTTGCCCATGAGTGAGAATTGGGTGGGGCAAGTAAACTCCAACTTGGTCAAATGTTTGTCCTTGGCATTTCGAGATTGTTAAGCAGTAACCCAAACGAATTGGAAACTGTCGTCTGGACATTTTGAATGGAATTTCTGTATTTGATGGTATTAGTGTGATACGTGGGATAAAAACTCTTGTCCCTTTAAATTGCTCCATCACAATTTCACAATCTAAAACATTTGGTAGTGCATTTTTCAGGATAAGACGTGTGCTATTGCATAATCCTGCTGATGGAGACATATTTTTTAGGAGGATAAGAATAGCACCTTGTTTGAGAGAGAGTTTATGTGGCGGGAGACCAGAAGGTGTAATAGAATTTAGGAATTCTATTGGAAAATTTTCAGGATGTTCAGTGTCAACAAAATCAATGCTTTTGTAGATGTATGTATCACCTTGTAATCTAGAGACAGTAGTGTTGTTGATTGCAAATGTATCATCGTTAAGTGGGGTAAGTATGACTCGGTTGGCTGCAATATAAGGGTCTGAAATCTCAAGTACTAAAGGGTAGACAAAATCAATAATTGATGAATAAATTAGTTGTGTATGAGGTAATAAAATGGAGTTAGAAGGCAAAGATGGTAAATTTTCAAAATTCTCACCATTTCCAACTTTGAGAAGCCATTCAGACCATGATTTATCACTTTCAGCAAGCTGCATATTTGTTTTCAAAGATAACTTTCTAAATAATCTCCATAATTTATTCATTCTTACAGAACTTGAAACAATTTGTGCCCTATGTCCATGTGGAATGACTGGAAGTGTTTGTCTAAAGTCCCCGCTAGTGACAACAATTATGCCACCAAAAGGTAATGATGTATTTTTTAGGTCTTGCAACACTCGATCAACAGCAGTGAATGCATAAGTGTGAATCATACTTATTTCATCCCATAACAATACGTTAGTAGTTTTGATTCTTATACCTGCTTCACTATTAACAGTTATAGCAGAAGTTGATGTTTCATTTATTGGAACAGGAAGTTTAAAAGTAGTATGTGAAGTTCGGCCATTATAAAGTAAAGTACTTGCAATTCCTGTCCAAGCCATGCTAACAACATTTATTTTTTTCAGTTGTAAAACATTTATAAGAGTGTTAAGAAGAAATGTTTTACCAGTACCACCAGGACCATCAATGAAAATGTATCGATTAAGCTTAGTTGGGTGATCAATAACATTAAGAATATCATTAAAAATATTTAACTGTTCTTGATTAAATCGAGGAATATTTTGTTCAACATTTTGATATATTTGTGTTGAGTTGATAATATTTTCATCATCAAAATTTTCAGACGGCATAGGTAGATGATAGTTTTGATTAGTTTTGCCATGCATTTTCATTTTAATATTTATATCATGTAAAGCATGTTCATAATGAAAAACTGGATTTGTTTGCATGAAATCCTCAGAGAGGAAGTCTTTAAATTTATCCCATAGGAGGTAAGGATCTTTTGGAGTGCAAAAGATACAAAGTAATACAAATAATTGTCATAATTGTGATGGCATTCTAAAAAAGCAAGCATCTTCCAAACATTTTTCCCATTCGGTATCATCAGCTATAAGCCCCATTGCATCTGCAACTTGTTGAAATGTGTCATAATAAATATTGTTAACTGTCTTGAGATCTTTGAAAGACGTAGCACCTTTTTTATGGAGTAAAATAAGACGTAAATGATATAGTTCAACATTAGATGGCGACACAGAATACATTCGGGGAATGACATTTCTTGTATGTCGAATTTGCTAGTTATGAGTATGAGGGTTAAATGTATAATATAAAGGGATTTCAGGATATGTATATTGTCTAGCATTTGGGTCATTTATATTTAATTCAAACCATTTTGTCAACATCGTACCATTTTGAGTAGCTCTTTGAAGTGCTATTTGTTCAGAACCTTCTATAAAATAGACGCTTTGAAAATTTGGAATGAATGGATAGGAAGACGGATTATAGGGGTCGAATGACCATGCATTTTAAATTTAAAAAGTCTCCATATTGCCTCTGGGGCAAATACATAACGTGTATTTTAAAATGTTGAGATTTCATCCCAATTTAAAATATTATCAGATTGTTGGGTTGCTGAATGGATTTCAATTGTAGCACAATCATAACCTTTATAAACATATTGAAATAAATACTTAATACTTTTTATAGTAGCACAAATTGCAATATTAATATGAGCATTATATTTTGTACAAAGGTATTTATTATAAGGCACTACCCAACGATTATCAATATAACACCCATTTTTTAAAATGTACGGCCATTATCAGGTCTATAATAATCTGGATATCCATCAACACTAAAAGTAGTTTCATAGTTAAATTTTTTTGGATAACCTTTTGAGCAAGTGCCATTTTCCATGCAAAGACTATTAGGGTTAAGAGGCCCACATGGACCATGTATCATATGAGATGTAATTATTTTAGAAATTTCAGGTTCATTTTGAGGATCAAGCAATTGTGCCGTTATGTATTGGTCAATAGCATCACGGTCTTTAATCTTGTTTTCATGAGATAAAATCCCTAGAAAGTGACAATGTGGAAGGCCTCTCTTTTGAAATTCAATTACATATATAAAAGAAATACAATTTCCAAAAATATGTTTTTTAGTAATATCATTCAAAAATTCTTTAAGCTTGATATGAAATACTCTCGAAACCAAGTCTGGACGATCCTCAGGGCTTTCATTTGGATGTAAATTTTTAGAAATTTCTGGCCATTTGGGATTGCATGTAAAAGTAATGAAAAGATCTAGCTTTGAAAAATGAGTAACTATAGCTATTGCATCTTGATAATTTTGTTGCATTGCTCTAAGGCCACCCCCAAAACTTGAAGGTAAAATAACAATCTTGCCTGGATTTATATTTTCATTAGTAGCACGGTTTGCAACATAATCCATAAGATCAGTATACATTTCAACTCGCAATTGTTTTTGATGAGTGCGATAGTAATTCAAATTATTGCTTTCAACTTTTACATAAGCATCGACAATATATTGTTGTGTGAGTTTTCCTGCATGTAAAATTTGATCAAAACCAAAGTGTATTGTGTCTCTTACAGATAAACAGTATGCATAATATTGGAGCAATGTAATTCGACGTCCGGAATTAAAAATATTTTTGTGCCAACCTCTATCACCAAAAGGAAATATTAATGGGTAAACCATTGGATCACAATTATAATCAAGTCTTGCAGTTGGATATATATAAATTTCACGACTATGTGGCGGTTCTCCATTGTCACTAACAAACACAACAGCAACATCATTTGTCCGTGGAGCATTATAGCGTCGTGGATTAGTTCCTTCAGTTTTTAATAACATGTAAACACCACGTATAGGATAACCTGAAAGCGTAGCAGAACGAATTTCTTCTTGTTCCATTTCATACATCATTTTGAAAGCTTGAGCATATGGGTTAACATGACGAAGGAGAGCATCAAGATGTTTAAGTAAGTTTGTCTCACAGCTTGAATTAAAAGGGTTTTGCTTTCTTATATTTGTAGCTTCTAGAGTATCAAGCATATAAAGTTGTCCATAAGTTCGACATTGACCTTCAGAAGGATGTGCTGAAACAATATTATGATATATTTGACCATGGATTTTAAAGCAATAAGGACCATGACCTTTTACAATATCAATATTAGAAGACATAGATGCAAAAGCAAGAGCACTATTGTAGTGTCTAATATTTGTTTTAAAATTAGAGTTCTTATTTTGCTTATAAAGTGAAAGTAAATCAAATGGTAAGGGTGAAATTGGAGGTAATATAACTTGGTTATTCTGGCAACACATTGAAGAGTTTTCATCTTTAAAATGCAATGCATTACAAAAAGTACAAACAAATGATAAACTACCAATATTAAAATTTATTATGTTAAAGTCATTATAAATGCTATGGCTTGCTAGTGTGGTATTCATGGGTGGGAGTGGTGGATTTAATATTGCTTGATATATGTAATTGTCATACTGGCATGCATGTAAGGTTCCAGATGCTTCTGAGTGTCCAACTGATTGCTGTATATAGTCATTATCATGATTAATATTTTGGTGTATAGAATCATCATCCTGATTATTTTGAACAGCTATAGTATGTGTATCATGATCAATCATAGTTTCAGAGGCATCTAAATCTCCATTAGATTGTTTACTATGTCGTATGGTTCTCAAAAGATGGCGGAGGCAAGGCATTTTCAGTCACTTCGATTATAGGTTTGATTATATATATATATATATATATATTTTAATTGAGTTTGTATAGAAGTTTATGCAGAATAGAAATGCAGACTACAGTTGGATATATATAAATTTCACAACTATGTAATGATCTGAAAGGAAAATATTAGACTTTTGCGAAGCACACTCAAGAACAACAAAATAACTCCAATGTTGTGTTTACCAATCTCTGGCAGCTCTCCAAGATTTCCAATGTATAGTCTGGACTTTGGATGGGGGAAACCAGCCGCTGTTCAACACGCTACGAAGCTGTGGAACGGCTTCTGCTTCTACGACCCATCACCGAGAGGTGGGAAAGCCATTGAAGTCACGGTGTTCCTTCCTCTTGAAACAATGGCGAAGTTCAGTGAGAAAGTCAAAACGAATTAATCCTGTGTACCATAATATCCAGAGTCCATCGTCCCGTCTGCTTGTGTGACATGACTTGACTCCAATCAATCCGTGCGTGCTGTTTAGAATATAATATCCCCGAGCCTCTAGGAGTCCCTATGCTGCTTTGCTTGTCACTGCGAGTTCGGGCTTGGATCTTCG